CATGGCTCACTTTTCCTTTTACATAAATTGTTAGTGTAATCGTTGATTTATGCATTCAGTATTTTGTCCTTTACTTTTGCAATTTCTAAAACAGGCTCCTTAGTGCGAACGAGTGCCGGTGCCATACATGTCAGAAATAAAGTTTTGAACCAGTCACAGTTACTTGAACACCTCTTTGATCTATACCCTCATACTCATTCTTATAAAGCCCTCTGAAGAATGTATCTTTCGAGAGCTTTAGCTCAAGACTCGAGTGGTGGATAAAATCTGGGCTGCAAAAATTGTCAGAAATGATATGATTGAAACCACAGCAGTTTTGTGATCGAAGTTGTTTCAGATTGCATTAATTCGAAATTGCATCACGCCGTTCGCGCTGCTAATGCTGAGTTTCTACTCGTCAAAGGGCGAATCGGACGCTGTGTACCTACCATCGGGCCACACGCTTCCGTCGGACATGTCGCTATTCTCTTCGGTTCTTGACGACGATAAGCGCCATCTGGTTATGATCGCCAAGTGCGAGTGAGTGTCTGTTTGCATTTGTTAATCTTTGGTCTTGATCTTTGGTCATTGCGCGCGCACTTCGCGTCTAATCAGTCGCGCACGAGCTGACGACGCGCCGCGCAGGTTTGGCCTTTGCGAGTCTTGCAGCTGCTGGTCTCTCGCGCAGAATGTGATAGAAAAGTTCACACGACCCACATTTTTCGCGGGTGTCGCACTCTTGTACAACTTTTTGGATGTCAACATTGGAATTGGCATTCGATAGTTGCCTGCAAAAATATTCTACAAAATTATAACCATGTTTGACATCAAACTCGGTACAATGCGAGGATATGCGTAGGTGGTAATTTATGATGAGGTCGCTTTGTTGTATTAGCATATTTGCGCTGGCATTCAAAGTGCAATCGCTTCACTTGCGAACGAAGTGTTAGTCAGTGTTCATCCGGTGACGTCCATCATTTATGACGGCAAACGGTATCCAAAACGCTTTAGACATTCGCGTCGTCAGCCGTCGTCGCCGCCGCGCAACCGGTTCCGACGTCACAAAACGGATATCATTGCTACTTTGCGCATCTAATGTTATGTGAATACCAGGGATTCTTGAAAAGTGTGATAGTGCTCGATACATAGTGTGGACAGTTCAGTTAAGATTGAGGGTTAGCTCATTAGTTGTCCGATTTGTTGGTCTTTCGCCGTTTCCATCGCAAAGGGTGCAAAAGCGCGACACTTTCGGGGATCAAAGAACGTGCATCGCTGCGAGCGCGGCGCCACCATTGAAAGATAGTGCGCGATTTTTGCTGCCTGCTTGTCATGCACATGATCATACATAAATACGTGACATTTGCGTGAGCTATGAATTCTGTGTTCATATGGCGCTCGCTCGAAATTTTTTTCAACTGCGGAAAAGTGCAATTTCAGGGCAGTTCGCCGCGGATTGGTCGACCAAGTCATAAACCAGTTGAGAAAACTGCATGTGACCGAAACTGAACTTCTTGCCCTCAAGGCCATCATGGCTCTCGATCCTAATGTGAAGGCTTTGTCGATGAAGTCATCTGGGCATTTGCTTGGTAAGTATGAGATCGTCTGAGAAAAAAGAACGGAATCAAGGTTGCGAGCACTATTAGTCTCCTCGACAATTCTGCCTTCTCTTTTTCGTCACATTTTTCTGCATGCTGCAATCGCGGGTGCATTCTTTTGCGAACATTATTAGCAAATTCTGAGTAGGTGAGTGATTGGCCGTGCAGGGCCAGTAACAAATCCAGCATATTTTTAATCTAATCAACCGCGTTGTTACCATCATTACCATCCATTTCCTGTGATGGCGATTTTGGAGAAAACTAATAGCGTGTGATTGTTGCGTCCAATGTGTGCTATGAATATTCTGAGCTTCGGTGTAGAAAAGAAATGATGTCCTATTTTGCATTTTATGTAAAGGGGCTGTTTCCATGTACTCGACAGCATAGCAGCAGCATAGGTACTTGTGATTTCCTGAATTCACAGAAGTGTGTGTATCTTTTCTTCAAATTGCTAGGAGAACGCTGCCTTGTTCAGATCTCAAAGTTAGCATTGTAGCTATCTCAATCGAGATATTCTAGGGTGGAAAGTCCAAACATTGTTACGAGAAAACTCTATATATATACAATATAGCACGAAAGTTCATCTCATGACAGAAATGGAAC